AAAACAACGTAAAATAATCTTTTGCTTATGAGATTTACAAAAATCAAAAAAAATCATTGCTGAACAATTCACGTTAGCAAGGATGTGGGCAGTTGACACTGAAATGCAATGCAGAGGGAGTATACGTTGGTGTGGTTTTCGTGGAGGGCACCCTGGCATCTGTTTCAGCAGTGTCTATGTTTAAATATGCATATTCTTCGACCTGGCAGTTGTACTACTGCAGGAATATGGACCTGTGCCCAAAGAAGATCCTCACAGCAGCACCGTTTTCAGAGAAAAACTAGGAATAACTTTAATGTCCACCAGTAAGGATGGGGCTAACAATTGCTGTCTTAAAACAAATATAGATTAGAAAGTGAAAAGAAATAAGGTAACACTCCTGTCAGCGCGGACAGACATCTGCGATGTATCCTGTAGTCAAGAGCAGTGAACAGCGGTATTCAAATTGTATTGATATATTTTTAAAATATATTTATTTATTCACACATAAACCTATGTTCATCACAACAGCAAAAGCTGCTCTTTTCTAACATAAGCCAGAAAACTGTCTCTCCTCTGCACAAAGCCCTCGCTCTCTTCCTTTCTCGTTCAGATTCAGAGCCAGAGTCTGCATGGGTTTCTAGTTCCTGTGCTATCTGGGCCTCGGCTGGCCATCATCCCTCTGCGCTCCTGCCCAGGTCTCATCACCCTGGGCTTCCTTCCAATACCTCTGGGTATTGTGTTTGCTGGTTGTTTCCTTTGCCAGGAACTCTGGCCCCCACACGGCCCGACAGCACGCCTGCTCCTGACCTTTGCAGCTCAGCCTGAATGACACCAGGCAGTGAGGCCCTCTCTCACCACAGCCCACGTTTTGGGCGAGTGGGCTCCTCCGCACTGCTCACCTTGCCTGGGTCCTTCCTATTCTACTCCCCCCCACCATCTGCTGCCGTCTGCTCCATGATGTACATCAGTGTTTATGGGTTGGCTGTCTAGCCCCTCCCTCTGCAATTATCAACTCCAGGAGGGCTGAGATTTTTGCTTGTGTTTCATAGCTGGATTCCTGGCACCTAGAATGCTACCTGGCACACAGTAGGAGCTCAATAAATGCTTCCTGGAGAAGTACATAAAACTTCATTTCTATGGATGCACAAAAACAGCTGTGAAAAATACACAATAAGCTATAACGGTGGTTGCTGCTGGGAAGTGGTGTTGAGGCATTTGGGGGAGAATTCTCACCTTTTACCATATACATTTCGGTACCACTAGGAACACATACCACTTTTGTAATTAAAAACCGAATTAAAATATTTTTAAAAATAAACATAATGGGTCCATTTCCCCACCCAGATCATTCAAAACACTTTTCCTGGGTTCTACAATGGTTTGGCTATGGTTTAAGTGGTTTCCCAAGGGTTGCATTGAAGTTCGATTCCCACCATGAGGTATTAAGAAGGTGAAGATGAGCCCCACTGCGAGATTTAGAGGTGGGGCCTGTGAGAGGTGACTTGGATGAGAAGGACATCAGGGCAGAGGCCCCGTGATTGAATGAAGTTTTATAAGAGGTAGAGAGCAGAGCCAGCTACTTAGGATGCTGAGGCAGGAGGACCTAGGCAACACAGTGAAACCTCATCTCAGGAAAAAACATGTGTGGAGCCAGGGATTTAGCTCAGTAATTCCACTGCCTGCCTCAAAAGCACAAGGTCTGCAGTTCGATCCCTGGTACCAAAAACAAACAAACAAACAAACAAACAAAACTGTGTGGGGAATCAGAAGGTACACGTGTGCCTGTGCCCCCATCTCTTACCATGTGTTGCCCTATGCCTCCTTGAGACTCTGCCAGCAAGAAGACCATCACCAGATGTGGTCCTTTGACCTTGGACCTCCAAACCTTGAGCCAAAATAAACCTCTTTTCTTTATAAAAATACCCAGCCTCAAGTATTTCATTATAGTAACAAAAACTAATGCAGGCTTCTTTCTGCAGACACTGAAAATGATTTCAAAAAGAACTAAGACTTGTCTGCCATAAACTTGTCCTTGCTATCTGTACCATACACAGTTCAGAAAAATACCAACAATACTGACCTTTGGATTAAAAGAATCATAGCACAGTGATATATGCTCACCCATATTTATAGCAGCACAGTTTGTAATAGCTGAAACTTGGAAACAGCCCATTTGCCCATCAGTTGCAGATTGGATAAAGATGTGGTTTTTCTATAAAATGGAATACTGCCCAGCCATAAAGAATGAGAAATTAGATTATTCATAGGAAAATGGATACATATTGAGGATATACTCCTAAGTGAAATAAATAAGTCACACGTGTAAATACCAAATAGTTTTTCTGGTTTTAAAAACTAAAATAGTACTCAAGATCCTAATGGGATAATTAGCAATGTGAAATAGGAAGAAAAGGGCTAAAGGTGCAGGGAAAGTGGGAAGGGTGGGGGAAAGGTAATAAGGGAAAAGAAAAAATATGAGAAAATGAAAAAATGGAAATAAAGTGTTTGTAAATGGGGAGGGGTGGAGGGGTGGAGGGGTGAAGGGAGGGCAGGGGTATGGGGAAAAAATGAGAACCAAGACCTGTCATGTAAAGGTACAAGATCCCATATGAGAAAATGAAAAAATGGAAATAAAATGTTTGTAAATGGGGAGGGGAGGAGGGGATGAAGGGACGGAAGAAAAAAGGTACAAGATCCCAATGATGAATGTAACTGTACTGTACACCTAAAATGTACCGATAAACTCAATGAGAGGAAAAAAAATACTGATCTTTGGGAAGTCCTAACACCTTCAATTAGATCAGGAATGTAAGCCATGCAAACATACACACATATTCTCATACACACTATGCCATGCATCTGCCAGCTAAAAATCCTCTCTAATTAACATATCCAACCCTTCTTTGTACCCACTTCCTCCCTCTAGGAGAAAGAAGGAATGTCGCTGGTAATTCCTTATGCTGTTTCTCTGCACGGCAAACTCAAACACTGCTGTCAGACAGGGTAGACCTGATATGACCCTGGGTGGGCTATGAAATTCATTTAGCATTAGAGGGAAGATATACTGTTTTTCTTAGAAACAAATTCAACTGAATTATTTAGCATAAGAGATCCCAGGGACACATTCACACAGTACAACAGGGACAAAGCCCTCAATGACAGTCCTTCTTAGGTTGACATGGTCACCAGGCCTCTGTCAAGTCAGCCTTCTCCTTCTCCTTGGGCCTGATTTCCCAGAAGCATAGTCACAGCAGAATCAGTAATACTCCCGCTGGAGTTGGCCTTAAAGCTAGCTTTCCTGTATTCTTCACTAGCCACAAAGTCTTTCTGGTGAGCCCATAAGGTCTCACCCCAACACCCCAGCAAATGAAGGGAAGGATGAGATTCGGCTCCAAGAATTCAGAAGGATCGGTCTGCCTTTCCTGAGAGTTTTTCCAACTCCTCTGAAAAGCAGGGTAGCAGCAGCCAACTCTCACCACTATTTGGGTTTGGAAACTCAAACTCAGAATTTTGAGTAAGAACCAACCAACCAGCTGGGTTTTTGCTTTTCTTCTTCTTTCTTTTTAAGATCAGCTGGAATAAAAATCAAAATTATCTAGGAACCAGCCCCTTGTGGACAGTTACACTTCATTTTCACTAAGTTTTGGCAACGTGGCAGATCTGAGCTGTGGCACTACTGGCTGACAGTTCTCCAGAACAAAGCTGGGTTTGGCTTTGCTTATTCCAAAACTCTGACTTATTACTCCTTACCTATTCATTTCTGAGGCTTTGTGACTCTTTTGACACTTCAGAAATGACATCTACTTAAGGATCTGCTTACTGACTTCCTCTTACTTGGGAAGAGAGCACAGGCTTTGGAATCAGATCATCAATGAGATTTTTGGGAGGGGACTGAGTATTGGACCCAGGACCTTCACAGTGAGCTATATCCACAGCCCTTTTTAATTTTTTTTCTTTAGACAGATTGTCACTGAATTGCCCAGGTTGGGCTTGAACTTGTTTGCCTCTTATCTCAGCCTCTCAGAGTGCTAGGATTATAAGTGTGCACCACCATGCCTAGCTCCATCAATGAGGTCTTAACAAGAATACATCCCTCTGAGCATCAGTATATTCACCTGTTAAATGGAAATAATCACCCTTACCTGGTAAGGTTACCATTAGGATCAAATGAAATAACACATATTCGGGGCTCAGGGTTGTACTTGTTAACAGATAGAACTCAGTAAATCACCATTATTACCAAAAGCCAAGACCCTGATTTTCCCTCTCCGAACTTTTCAGGTAGTATCTCTCATAACTGCCCCGAATTGTCTCTCAGGACAAACAGATCTCAGAACTAACCACATTGAAACCTCTTGTCCCAGAACCTCTTGCCGGGTTTATCAGAGGAATAGAACTGATACTGCCGGAGTGCTGGATCTCATGGTTAATTCTGAAACACACGTACACCACCCCATGCACACACGCCCACAGACACACAACATCTCATGAGAGCCGAAGAGGCTTGGGCTGAAGCTCAGGAATCTCATAAGGCAACTGCGTGGCCCCCAGCTTTGCTGCTGCACAAAACTATGACAGGAGTTTGTTCATTTCCACCAGCGGTCAAAAGAAGGATGCGATTACAAGGACTGTGATAAGAGTGTGGAGAAGGCTTGGGGCGCCTTATACCTCCAGATCTGCCCTACTTAGGGGATGCTGCTCCGAAGACAACATCCCTCGCGTCCTTAAAGGGCACCATTCCCTCTTCTTACCGATCCTGCCTCTTCCTTTCTGTCCTTCAACTCAACACACATGGACTTCAGTGCCCACCATAAGCCAGGCACAGGTGAGCGACGCTCAGCCCCTGGGAGCTCCCAGTCTGGTAAGCAGAAGAGCCACAGGACAGTAGTTACCAGCAGACAAAGGGCTCCGGAAAGTTCTCTGGAGAAGGGAGGATGGCCCAGACCTGCTGTCGGCTACCCTTAGTGTCCACAGAGCTCAAGGCAGTTCTGTAAGCAGGAATGTCCTGGGCTACTCACCACACTGGTTTTCTACATGCCCCTGGCCCACTCCACAGGCCTCTGCCCGCTGCTCGGATGCCCTGGGAGACTTCTTAGCCACATCGAGGTCCATGCCAGAGAGCTGAAGGTGGAACTGCTCCCTGTGGGCCGCCTTCCTGAGCGTGCGAAGCGCCTTCCGAAGCCGCTTCTCCGTGCGCTTTGAGATGCAACTCAGATCACATGACGCTGCAGAAACAAGGGGGACAGCAGCGCCAGGAGGTCAAGCATAGTGTGTGGGGCTGTCCAGACTAACTGTAGGCCCCACCAGCACCCCGAGATCCCAGTGGACCAGAAGGGGAGACACCTGGAGGTGCGCACCTAGCAATCTGGGCAGCATTTGATTCAAATGGAAATTTGTTGACCAAAAAACGGTAGCTTTCAGTTTTCACGAAGCAGGGAAAATCATCAGGTCAGGTTCTAAACCAATTTAGAGTAGTTTGGGGTGAAAATAAAACAGGAGATACTTCAGTGTTTGCACTATTTTCCCCCCCAGCAATGGTGAAAAGTGAGAGGCAAAGAGAGAAGGAGCAAGCTGTGGGAAGCCTGGCACGATAGTGACTTTCAGACCAACCTGTCACCTCCTTTTGGTAAGTTTCACGCTCAAACTCAACAGTGAGAAACATTTCCTTGTGGGCGCTTGGTCGGCCAGGGGCTCCAGGGACTTGCTTGCCGGAGCTGCATGTAAGGTTTGCGTAGAGGAAGCTCTCTTTTACTGAGCTGTGCTTCTCTGTATGAAGAAACAAAATTATCGGAAGCCAAGTCCTAGCAAAGCACTCAGCTGGACGTTCGCTAGAACACAGTAAACATTTCATTAAAACAGCTCTCCAGGGACTGCATGATTAACTCCACATGCTAAGATGTTGCAAGCCCCCAGTCTGGAGCACGAGGACATTTTCATCTTGAAGCCCCAGTGCTGCCTCCTACGTAACTTTACAATCTAGCCATTGAAAATTCTTTTCACGGATAAATGCGGCCATTTCCACAAAACCAGCCACCTAGGCAGGAGGCAGAAGCAGGGGCGGCCATTCCGCATTCCCTACTTGAAAGGTGTGCTCCTGTTCTCACGGTTGGTTTCCCCACAGCTGGACTGTGATGGCCTGAGCAGGGGCTGAAGTCTTCACACAGGGACAGGAAAGAAACCAACTCATGCTTTCAGGCAAACTGGCCTTGGTGTGATCCAACCCGAAGGGAGAGCTGGAGAGCTCGTTTTTAAGTCACCAGAACAATACACGGCACAAAGAATCCACAGAACCAAACAGTATCCTGTTGGCCCCAATGATGACGGTGGAAGTTTCAAGTAAGGAGGGCTTTGTACACCTCTGTTCCCAAATTTGGCTGTCTCCAGTGCCCCAGCGACTTCCTGTTGACCAATGATTGTTAACCCAAACTGAAGAGCAGATCATATCCACACAATAAATCTGTTTTAAAACCTAACTTTATCAAACTGAAGAATCATCTGCATGGTATTCTTGTACATTACAGGGACATTCAAAGGGACAGGTCATGGGGGGGCAAATGCATTTTTCTCTATATTTTTCCCCCAAAATATATTTTACCTTTTCAAAAAACTAACTTCAAAATTGTAAAGTAATCAGACATTCATTTTGAGCCTTTTTATTTTCAATTCTATCTCTATTTTTAAAAATCATTTTAAGTAAGTTTCAATTTATAGAAACTTGCTAAGATAGCAGAATTTCCATATATCTTTCACTCGGTTTCCCTTAATATTAACATCTTACTTTAACATCATATTTATCAAAACTAAAACATTAAATCCAGGCATGATGGCTAATGCCTATAATCCCAGCACTGAGGTTGAGGTAGGAGGATCTGTGAGTTCAAAACCAGCCTGGGCTACATAGCGAGTTCAAGGTCAGCCTGAACTGCATAGGGTGACCCTGTCTCAAAACAGAACACAAAAAATTCTGAGATATTAGCAGTGGTGCAACCTCATAAAGTAAAGTCCAGGCCAAATCTGCTTTTCAATAGCTCTTTCCTCCTGATTTTAAAGTATAAATGTTCACCATGGAGAATATGGGAAAAGTAGAAAACATTAAAATTATCCATCGTCCTCTCCTTTAGATATAAGCACTTCTAACAATATAGTGGGCTTTCTCTTTTTCTGTCCTCTTCACTTTTTCACGCACACTTTGGATGGTATTAGATATACAAAATGTTGCTGGGCTTGGTGGCGCACGCCTGTTATCCCAGCACTCGGGAGGCTGAGGCAGGAGGATCACAGTGAGTTTGAGGCCAACCCAAGCTACTTAGCTCAGGGCCAGCCTGAACTACACAGCAAGACCCTGTCTCAAAAAGAAAAGACACACAAAATGTTATGGTCCCCTTTTCTGTCACAACACTAAAACAAGTACATTTTCTTCTGTCCTCAAAAATGCATTGAATACATTCAGTTAATAGCAGCATACAATTCTATCAAACGGAGAAACCAAAATTGATCTTGGTTGGTTACCAATAGGTATCAAAAGCAACTAGAGTGAGCTTTGTGTTTGTATGATTTATTTGAGGGTAGATTAGAAAAGAAACCTCCTAATAAGTAAATCCTGATTTGCTTAATCACCTAAAGCATTCTCTGAAACATTATGGAAATGTGAGTCATGGAAGCAAGCAGAGTGCTAGATTCTGCTCATTTCAGCGAATCCAGTTATACTTGGATGGCCTTTGTTTTGCTGAAGCCAATGGTATCACAGCTTCTGAAAACTAGACCCAGATGGAATGCTGGGTATTACCTCTTTGTTCATCAAATTTATCTTTTCTGCTGGGTGTGGTGGCGCACGCCTATAATCCCAGCACTCAGGAGGCTGAGGCAGGAGGATCACTGTGAGTTCAAGACCAGCCTGGGCTACACAGTGAGTTCCAGGTCAGTCTCAACTACATAGTGAGACCCTGTCTCAAAAAACCAAAAAAAAAAAAAGAAACAAACAAACAAAAAACAAAAAAAATTAACATTTCTAGGCCAAACCTTTTTTTTCTTTTCATTTCTTTGGGTGATCTTTCAAGCAAACATTAAGATCTAGAAAATTTAACCTAATATGATCCCAAATTGGTAATTCATCTCAAGACCTTTGTGACCGCTGCAAACTCAGGTTTTTCCAGAGCTCATCAACTATCTCTTAAAGGAAGCCGTGAGGTAAGAACCCCAGAACTACACAGGGGTGCTTCACCAGGCTCTCCTTCCTCTGGGAACAAAGTCTTTACAGATTCTGAAGTGTGCCTGAGTTGGCCGGACCACTGTCTGTCCACCCTCAGACTTCCAGCTCAGCTCAGTCCAGCCCCTTTCCGACCTGCAGTCAAGCTCCAGCTCCCCACATGCTGGCGAGCAGCGGGCATCTGATTCCATACCTGGTAGTGCTGATCGAAGACCCTCGGGAAACGGCTCAGACTTTTTCAAACTACACTTGCCTTCATTTAGCTTAAAGGTTACACTTGTCCTGATGGTGGCGACATCTTCAGAAAGAAACAAGTGAGAGACGTTACCTTCAGAGGCAAAGGAAAGGAAGCACCCGGGGATGGTGGCAAGCTATCCATTGGCTGGGACGCCCCCAGTGTCGCACAGCCCGAGCCCAAGAAAGGGTGGCATCACGGAGTGCCCATTTCCCCAGAGAGCAAACAGCTGGAGCCAGGAGTTATAGTTACTCCCTCCTGGGAGAGATTAATCCGGTGTTCAAACATAACAAAGGGAGGGCCCCAAACAGCCTCCGCAGTGAAATAAGAGAAGAGGTCGTTTGTGTACCATGACTGTTGAGGGAAATGGGAAAGAGCAGACTCTCCTACACCTGCCCTGGAGGCTGGTGTAGGACAGGGCTGAGGGAGCTGCCATTCTAGGCATGGTTAGACTTCCAGGGCTGGGAGGGAGCAAGGGCCCTCCTTCTAGGGGCAGATGTGCAGAATTCCCTTCTCCTCCCAGAATCAGTCTTAAGCATATGTTAGGCCCTGGAGTCTATGACCTAGATGTAAATTCTAACTCTGACTTATGGTGAGAATTTGGGCAAGTTCCTTAACATCCTTATGTCTCATAATTAAGTACTGATATTACCAGGCTGACCTGAGGATTAAATGAAATAAGGCAAAAAAGAACAAATAAGTTTAGCTTACTGCTGGGTACACAGTAAGAACCAAGTAACTGTTAGCTGTACGCTTGTTTGCTTGCCCTGGGGTAGCCCTAAATCACCAAGAAATCATCACTGAGGGATTTGATGAAACGGACCGTGATGTCCCTTCTCAAACATCTGGCAATATAGGCAGGGAAGGTTGGTGCTCAGCATTCTGAACCCAGACTGCCTGGGTTCAAATCCTGGCTCCTCTCTTTCTTATCCGAACTACTTGTCAGTTAGTTCACCTCTCTGCACCTTAGTTTGTCTGGCTAATGAGAATAAAAAACAACAATGACAAAAACTGACCCAGAGGGATGTAGTATAGATTAAATCAGCTAATATACACAATAAGGTAGCTGGCATGTTTGAACTGCTCAGGGGCTGTTTTGCTTTGGGTCTTCAGCTTTGCTGATAATGTCATATGAGCACCAAGGTGTAACATGGGCCCGGTGTGGTGACAAATGCCCATGATTACAGCACTCAGGAGGCTGAGGCAGGGGTCTACCACGAGTTCAAGGCCAGCCTGGGCTACATAGTCCAGGCCGTATTTCAAAGAACAAAAATGATGAGATATGGTCCTCATTTAGGTGTTCTCAAGACACAGTAACAAATGGGTCTGTGTCTGGGAAGACAAGACCTCCTGAAAACTCTGGATTTCACTCTTAGTCTTTGGACAAACTGGAAAAGGTTTGGGTCTCGTTCTCAGGACAGAACCCTTGTTGCCCCCGTTCTCCCCAGGCCTAGCTCCATCTCCTGCAAGACTCTGAGATGCTCTGGGTACCAGGAGTGAGTAGCCTGGCTCCGAGGCTCTGTGGGCCTCTGTAGAATGACGACCCCCAGGGTGAGCACAGAGCACAGTGGCCCTTCAGAAAGTGATGGTTACATGGCAAGTTACATTCTGGGCACCAAGGGTGCAGGCAAGGACACCCTGGCACATGTTCGCAGCATGGAGATTAAGGAAAAAAAGAAAACAAAGCTAACAGCCAAGAATAGCTCCTCATGAAGGAAGCCCACTGAACACAGTGAGCCCCAGAAAGGGTACACAGATTTGGTAATTACCCCCAAAAGCAGAGTCATTGGATTTGTGCTGTTTGCTCCTTAGAGAAGAAGAGCCGCAGGTGACAGAGTAGGCCTCTTGCAGTCCTAACAGACAGAATGTGGATTGTCACATGAGTAAGAAAGATTGCAGGCCATCCTGGTATCAGCTGAAATTGTCCCAGTCCTGCTCCCCACGCAATAAATATTAGAAAAACACCCAATCTATGAGTTCTCTATCCACGGGCCTCTGACGGTCAGAAAGTATCTGGTTAAGGACCTAAAAGGGCTGTGAGAGTATCTGACACCTACCAGCCAGGAAGACCCTGCCATGGCATGAGGATTTGCCACTCACCTGAAGAGAGACGGACGCCAGCGTGACATCTTAGGAGGCACCTGTCTCCTCCACCACTCTTACTGCAAAGCAGGGACGCGTAGGACAGCACACGAGTGGGCGGGAACCCTTTCACTTCTAGACAGGACAAAACACAGACACGGACAGAAAGAGAAGGACATACCCAAGCGTGACAAGGGTGGCTGAGTCCCATGCACCAAAGGCCCCAAGAAAAGGTGGAGCTGATGCCCATACAGAACACAACACCAGGCCTCATTTCCACCGTGGTCCAGGAGCGCCTTGAATGCTACTTTTTCATGCACAAAAGCAACCGGGAAAACAGACATAAGTTCCAACCGACACAGAAGCACAGAAGGAAACGCCAAAGAGCCTGCAAAGTATCTCCTGTTTTTGGACTAATTAAAGACCGGCTGCTGCCACTGACAGAGGGGAAAACTCAGTGAGAAGTCAGGGTCACCGGGCTCGGGGGGACACGGAGCACTCAGAGCCTCCGGGCCAGCAGTGAGCCCTCTTTGCTGAGTCTGTGCCGTCCGGGGTGGGCGCCCCTTACCCACACAGTCCTTTTTGTTCCAGTGGAGCTTATACCCAGGATGGCACTGGCACTCATAGCTGCCCACTGTGTTCACACAGACCTGCTGACAGCCGCCATTGTTGTCACTGCACTCGTTGGTGTCTGTGGAACAAAACGTTTCCCTGTCACAGCAGCACATCACTGAACGGCCTGACACTGTCTCTCTGTTGAGGAGGGGCAGCAGTGGGGTCACATGGTCGGAAGGTGCCCCTTGCCTTCAGGATGTATGCTTGGCACCTGCTTGATCAGGTACCCCATTCCCTGATGTCATGGGCCTCCCAGAAAGGTGTCAAATTCTACCCTTGACCAAACCATCGCCCTATTAGGGGCATTCAGAAGGGACCATACTCTACTTTCAGATATCCACACTCAGACACTGCACGGGGTTCTAATTTAAAACTCCACCACCCTCCAGACCACACAGCAAGGGAGACAGACAGAGTGAAGGCTCCTCCTTGCTTGACTATTTCCACAGCTGAAGACAGAGAGGGGAAGCAGCCTGCACTGATCCCTGTCAACCTGAGACTGAGTCCAGGTCAGAAGGTGACTCCACCTAAACCCAGATTCACATCCGTACGTAAGATAGATTTTGTTGGAGTTTCCTGGTGGACTGGGAAGGGTATGTTTTTAGCCATGCCAAAGATGTGCTGAAAAGAAGGGAGACAATATTATCTATAGCAAAGCACCACCAGTATCCTTTTGTCTGCAGCACAGGACACAAGGACTGGACAGGAAATATTCTGACCAGTGGTTCCCAAATCCTGCAGATCCTTAGAATCACCTTGGAGGCCCTAAACATTCTAGACTTGAATAGAATCTAAATCTGGTTTGGTTTTGTTTGGTTCGGTTTGTGTTGTTTTTGTTTCTTGAGGGTGGGTCTCTCTAAATTGCCCAAACTGGCCCTGAACTCGTAATCTTACTGCCTTAGCTTCCCAGGTGCTGGGATTACAGGTAGGCACCACTAGACCGGCTAGGGATCTGAATGTGTATTCTCAAAGATTTCCAGGCAAATCTGATGGCCAGGAGAGTGGAAGCTAGTTGGTACCAAGTCTGTTTATGCCACCTCTTGCTTGACCATAAGCTGATGAGACAAGAGAACACGTTGCTAAATGGGCATAGCGAAGAGATAGATCTACTTTCAGCTCAAAGACCCAACCATGGGGCTCAACCCTAGGCTTTGCAGCCAGTGCTTATGCACAGCTGGCTTGGGGAACTGCTTGCTGCCTGCCACGCCTCTCTGAGTGCTGTGTATTTATGGTCTGCTGCATTATGGTCCAGCTGATGAGTTTCCCCTCCTGACAGACCCTCCCATTCTCTGAATATAGCCCCAAGGCAACAAAGTCAGGGCAAATCCACAGCTGAAAATGCTTAGCTCCTCTCTCCTCCATTTCACCTGGGATGTGCTAAAGGGATCAAGGTGGACAGAACCTTTCAGCAGGTGCTTCCCTCAAGTGGAAGGACTTGTTGTCACTGGACAGGGACTGGAATGTACCTTCACCCCCAATGTAGAAAAATCTCTCACCCCACTCCCCTCGGGCCCAGCCTCACCCCACCTCCCAACCCAAGAGAGGTGATCTGCTCACCTCCACAGTGGGTGAAGCCATAGAGGGTATAACCTGCGTCACAAGCACAAGCGAATGTGCCAGGGTGGTTGAGGCAGCTGTGGTCACAGGTCCTATCCAAAGAGCACTCGTCCACATCTGCAATTGTCAAAGGGAGAGGGGAGCTGCAACCAACACCAACGTGATGGAGAGGCTCCTAATACACACCAGCCTCGACCGATAACAAAAACAACACCCTGGAGGGGAAGAATATTCATTCTCCTTGCTCGCTGCATCAGAGTCTTAAGCAGCCCACAATCAGTACACACACGGCCAGGACCCTTATTTCCAAACTGTGTTGCAAACTTCACTTTCCTTGAAGCTCAGTTGATCTCTCTCATCCATCTTTATTTGCAAGGGTAATTTAAATTATATAAACATCGCCAAATAAGATAACACACCTAAAAAGAGTTTTTGCAAACTATACTATAAGTCATAAGGCTAACAATGCACTATCAGGGTTATATTGTTGTTGTTATTATTCTTATCGTTGGTAAAACAGCAACTGTAAGTTTTTCAGCTATGGTAAAATGAAAGGAGAAAATACTTGGATTGGAGGTAAATCTGGTTCCCATCTCTTTCTAATCTTTCCAGAATCAGTCTTCTGGCTCCTAAGCATTAGAATCCTGGGTTTTAATGGCATCTGCACTGAAAGAATGCATTAACACTAATATCCCCAGTACTGAAACTTGGTGGTTAAGCACTACACTGGATCCATTCGGCCAGTCCTTAGGTTTCCTATCCCCTTTCTACCTGGCTCAGAGTGGCTGCACCCTTGGCTGCAGCTGGGACCATGCTGTATATTTGTCTATCTAATCATTCTTCTTCCATGGTGTGGCCCTCACCTCTTCCCTGTGAACTAGAATTTCAGTGTTTCACTCCCTACACTCTTCGGGGGGTTTCAGAGTTACAGCCGGTCTCTCCAAACGGGAAGACCAGGACTCAGACAGCACTCAGTGGAAGCCAACTAGGCCATTGATAGACCACTTTTTCAGCACCACATGCATCATGAGAAACTATGTTAATAAAAAGCAAACATTTGGATGGATCCAGAGGAATGAAAAAGTGAAATAAAAAGGGCAACTTCTTGCAAAATCTTTTGCTCCCTAGCTTTTCCCAGAAACTTGGCATTTTCTTCAGCAAATCTGTTCTCTGCAAATATTTGTTATACAAAGACTGATCAGTTAAAAAAAAAAAAAAAGGAGAAAAAGTCAGTTTCTTTCCGGGTAATTGATGCCATTCTGTGAAATCTGTTACTAATATGAGCCATTTGCCAAGAAAGAGACTCGTTCAGTAGCTGACTTTGGCCGCTTGATACGGGCTTTTGCTTTGCCAAAAATAATGAGATCACTTTTCTAATTCCTTTTTAATGTGTTTACACAGCTTAAACAGCATTGCTTGCTCTATACATTATGAAACATTATGTGGAACAGCAAATTTGTTTTCCAAGTCAAACTGTAGAGAACCATACAATAATCATCTAGAATTAACTCACTGAATTTAAAGAAAAACATACTTGAAATGCCTGGAAAATTATGTATTAAGAACAGAAAAAGGGGGAAGAAAAACCTAATTCAGACCATAAAGTTTAAAAAAAAGATACACCTCTTTTTTTTTTGGTATCAGTGATTGAAACTGGGACCTTGCGCTTGCCAGGCAGGCAGTGAAACCACCGAGCTAAACCCCTGGCCCTGTTACACCTTCATTATGTGACACAGAATCAAATTTTATATTCTGATGTTTATTTCATGCAGATATTTCTAAAATAATAATAAGAACAGCAGTTCTTATCTCCAGAAACAAAACGGGAATAGTGGCGCAGCCTGAATTTCCTGGCAGCTTCCTCCTGCACATCAATGGGACATAAAAGGTGCTTCACCTAAACCTATAAACGATGATAGCCCTCAAACAGCTTTCTGTCACCCACGAGTTGTCAATACCAGATGCTGCCCAGGGAGGTCCCCTTGCGGTCCCCCTTTACTTGGGAAGGATGCATTTGAAAAGAAGTCTAACCAATATCCCTTTCCCACAACCCCTCCCTTCCATCCTCCTCTCCAAGGATCAAAGGCTGGTCAT